CCCAAAGAAGTCACTACCAAGTTTCAAACCCCAAGAGATCCTCCGATGGCGATCGTCCATCGCCCCCAACTGTCACTATTATGCCAGATCTATCGTTCCCCCCACCCCTCACCCCACTCCACTCTCTGGTTGCTAAAATCTAGTTTACCTTCAACTATACAAATGTACCTAGTCAATTTTTTTCGTTTGCTAAGTCTAACACTATTTTAACAAGGGGTTGGGTTATTCATTATTCTTAAAGCCCATTTAGAAACTAATAATACTTTTAGAAGTACTGTAGGGCCGGGATGGGGGAGGGTAATTTTGAATATTCCTTCATGGACTGCTGATGTTGTTATGTTTTAGGTACAACAGGGCCGTGCAGCTCAGTCTCATAAAAAGCCAAATGGTATGCCTGATCTTGATCTAGAAAGGTCTCAGGAAGATGGTGACCTTAAAAAGGTATGGTATCGCTTTAAACACAAAAACTAGATTTTCAGTCACCAAATTTGTCATTTATTTCTTCACAAAATTTTTTTATAAGCTGATCTGGAAATTTCATTACACTGTACACCTCAAGTGATATAGTGCCAACCCTACAGGTTAATTTGGTTTTAGAAGAAATTTATTAAGAGCAAATTAATAATACAAGATGAAATATAATTTACTCTTCTATCAGTCTGTTTAATATTTTATTGGATTGTTACAAACATTACATGCTCCAGGGGGTTAGAGATAGGCACAGACTAAGGCTACTTTCAGGCAACTGGATTGTCTTCTCCTACCTGGAAAGCAACAGGAATGCATAGTACCACGTCCCCTTCCTTCCTTTCTTTCTTTGCCCTTCAATGGAGGGTCTGATAATCTTACTGATAAGGTCAGGGCTTATTTTTAACAAGGTGATTGTTTTTGTTATTTTAGGCTCTTCATGCAAGGAAAAATGATGTCAACAATGTAAGCGATGGTGTTGAATTTGAAGAGTACCCACACAAGGTTAATAATGGCATTAAAAATAGAATTTCAAGAGGCATTTTTGAATGATTATTTTTCACTGGAAGTACACGATACAGATAGTTCTGATCTTTCAGTTCAAATAATATGTTCCTCAAAATGTCAACCAGGACCATGTGTGCTTGTTTTGATGCATTTTAATGCTCAACTATCACACAATTTTTGTTCCAAAAACTGTATACCTACCCCCTTGGTAGACGTATTGCTTTAACCTGATTTCCTTATGTTTAGGCTCATTAAAATGTGAGCGCTTTTTGTCTGTGCGCAAGTATATGCAGAGTGCCCAAGTAGCTGCCAGAGCTGGCGCATTACTTTACATGCCAGCTCTATTTTGCTCGCATTTGCTTTCTTTTCTTTTCGTGGATTGCTGTCATCTTGATTGTGGCAGATCTTTGCCAATCTTTTCTCCCAGAGCTAAGAGCTTGTTCAGTAAGTACATGTACATCTGGTTTTTCTTTTGAATCCATTAGTGTGATGGGTGATGCCCGGGGTGTGCCATGTCAGCGTTAATTGCTATAGATACCTCTGTAGACTTGAAGATGCTTGTTTGGTTCCTCACCCACCACCAGTCAGCAGCTACAGTTTAACTCCTTAAGCCTGGATTTAATCTATGCACTTATAGTATTCCTTTTTTGTATCAGGGGGTGAGGGCTGGGGCCTGGGGAGCGAAAAATTGTTTAGGAATGAGAAGATTGAGTCCCATCCCCTCTGAGTAATAGTATTCTTAAGGACATGTCTAATTCCTGAACCATAACAATGACTGCCATCAATGTTCTGATTATTATAACTATTTTTATACCTTTTTATTAAGTTCATATACATGTATGTTTTAATGTTGTGTTTGGTGTTAATAGGTAGATGAGAGTGATCCTTCTTACAATGCAAACAAGTAGGTTTTTATGTTGTATGACAGACAAAAATGGGGCTCTACAGACTATGAGACCTCAGCCATGATTAATATTATATTATTATGTATTCACCAATGAAATACCAGGTGAGCTTTCGGGCGAAAACTTGATATCTTCACATGTGAAAATATTACCATTGCTATGGCTACATGATAAATCATGCCTTTCACACCAAAAAACTATTAAAGTGAAATGGTTTGGTATTTCATTGGTGTTTATATAATAAATAGAACATTACATGGCCACTTGGAGATACAAAATTTCTCTTCCCGTGTTGAAAAAATATTTCAGAGTGAGCGCAAGAGAAATTTCGTATCTCTGTGCGGCCATGTAATATCCTCTATATATGTGTTTTAAATAATTGTCATAATAAATACATGTATAAATAATCTTTTTTTTCAGTGTAGCAAATCAGTACAATAGACCTTGGAGTACACAGCCAACAACTCAGAGAGAACAAGCTCAGTTAAAAAGAAGACAAGAAGAGGTAATTGTACTGCTTCCAAATACTATAACTGTTCTTTTATCAACGTAGTTGACTTTGTTTCTGGTTGTAAAAAACAGGAAGTTCTACATTCTGAGAAGAAGAAGGATCTGATTGTGGAAACAATTCTTGTGGATCAGCTTTCCAGGTGTGGTGAAAATTTTCCCATATTGTGTGACTTTTTTATTATTACTATTATTTTATGAATCATTCAAAAATTCTTCAACAATTCATATACTGAGAATTATTCAAAAGAAATGAATGTCCAATGAGTCTCTTGATATCTGAAGTAGACACAGCTAAAATTTACTTTTACATCTAACTCAATTGTCTTTGTTTTTCAGTATTTTACAAAGTGAAATTTTCGTAGCTTTGCTGAATTTTAACTTTGCGAGTGACAAATAATATACATCACTCCCAAAAGTGGCCAAACTAAAAATGATATATTGCCAGTTGCCTTTTTTTAAATTCAATATTTTACATCTTTAGGGCAGCAGTTTCTGATCCACAAAAAAACATCAACTCAATTCCTGCTGATATAGGTCCCAAAGAGAGAAAGAAAATGGAATTTTATAACACAAGGTAATAAAAAATTAATGTGAGTTGTTAGTTACTGCAATCAAATAATATGATATACATTCCTGATCTACCATTCAGTCATTCTCAAACTTTTTACTTCAACCAATGCCTTTGACACATACTGGTACTTTGTTGCTACTCTCATTAGCAGCGTCATTACTGCAGCGTTGGTGACAGTGGTAGTGGTAATAGTGGTAGAAACATTAAAGGAACTGTTAATGACAATGGTGCTTTTGATGGCAGAGACAGGAAGTGACCTTAGCAATTCTAGTGTCACTGGCATTGCTCTAGTTCATGACATTGCTAATGACAACAGCCATGGTAGTGGAAGTAGAGGTAGCAGTGACAGTGTATTGATACTGGTATTGGCAATGTCATGACCACTGTCAANTTGATGCCACGATTTGAACCCAGGCCACATTGGTTGGAGATACACGTAAGTACTCTCACCACTGCTCCACCCTTGTCCCCTGAGAGTTGTTATTGTTAAGTGCAATAAAACTTCTGGTAATCAGTTTTTTAAGAATCATTTTAAAAAATAGAGTTTTTTGTCAACAATGTTGCTAATTCATGGTGGGTATTATTAAAATAATGATAGGCTTACAAGCATTTTTGACTTTCCTTTTTTATTTTTAGGGCAGTAATTTATCATTTGCAACAGCCTCACAATCATCGCTTCCACAGAGTGTGAGTGCCCACCCTGTTGTTGTGTTCAGGGTTTCTGAAGTTGATGATCAAGCTAGGCAAGCACATCTGTAAGTAATTATCGTAATCCTAAGCACCTAATGGTGAGCAATGTAAAAACATCACAGAAAATTACAAAAATTTCATTTTGAAAATTCAAAGAAATTAAATAGCACCATGCAAAAGTTGTACTAAAATGTACACTAAATTGAATGATAACACGATAACAACAACAAATAAGAACAACAATCTTTAATGAATTTCATGCAACAAGTTACAGTTGTCTTGTCTACACAATTAGCAAAAATACTGGTCTAGGCGGGACAGTTTAGTTTACAATTATATTTACAATAAATGGTTATAAGAAATAACACACAAACACAATTGAAATCAAACCTAGTGCAAAATGTGTGAAAACTTTCTTCAGATAGAAAAACCCTGGTTAATGTATCAAACCAGACAATCTCCCACTATTCCTTGAAATTCGTGCTTTGGTACAGGACTGCAAAGCTTGGAAGTGCAGGACCATTTCACTTTAGATCCCCTATGTGCTCCTCAGCTGAGCAAAGATAATTTAGTTTCTCTTTTGTTATAATTTTAGATTTGAGAGCTGTCAAACCCTTGATGAAAAACGTTCAATAATGGAAAGATTAGATAACCCACTCTCTGATGCAGAATTGCAAGAGCAAGAAGTATTGGACAATGTACAAAGTATGTGTAATGTGGTTAGACATAACTGCTGGAGATATTACTAACCTTACATAACTATTAACTGTTTGTTTCAGATGAGGAGTGGCCTAACAGATGGTTCACGGTCTGATAATTTGAAAAGATTCCTACCTATACTGTAGATTAAAGTAATCAATTTTAGTTCAACAACTTATACACCTTTTCATGTATTTTTTCATCCTTAATAAAATTTTTAGGAGTAAAACTGTGAAAACACAGAGCTAAAAGTGAACTGGCTTATTTTTTCCTTCAGGTATGGTCAAGAGGCAGCTTCAGAAGAGGGCAGTTAGAACATTGATGGGTCTTGGTCAACATTTTAGAAAGATTGACCAGTCTGGAGATGGTCTGTTAGATCAGCATGAACTGCAAAGAGCTCTGGAGACCTATCATATTACAATCCCTGATGAGGTATGTACAATAGTTTTGTTCTTTCCCAGTTCTTTCCCAGTCAAAAGTATAACAGTACTATTAAAAATGTTTATAAGGCTTAGTGGCAACTAATTGAGTGTGTAAATAAATTATATGGCTGATTATTTGGAGAACTGTGCGCGCAGAAGAAGTCAGATTTGTTTTGTGAGTGTGATTATAGACAGAATTGGATGACAAGTTTTGTGACCAATAAAACTATAATAACTGAAACAAAATTTGAGAAAAACAGCAAGACACTGTCAAGATATCTCAAGAGTATTTTTATAGACATCATAAATATAATGTAGACATGAGAATCTAAAAAGAACCTTGGCACCTATTACAGCAGTTATATGCATGATTACACCTACCGTCCAATTACTTCTGCATGATAGGTACTGTTCCATTATCAGTCCCATTGTTAATGCTAACAGGGCTGCTGATATCCAATCAGATTGGAGTTTATAGTTATGATTAATAATAATGTTATTAATATGTTGAAATCATCTTCCTATGATTAAAATCCCCAAGTACAGTGGTGCTGTCTTTCTAACTTTTATGCATTTCATTATTTCAGACTTTTAATCACTTGTGGGATATTTTGGATGTAAATGGTGATGGTTTTTTAGACTATGGCGAATTTTCAAGGGGATTTATTGGTGAAATGAATGAATTAAGGAAATCATTGGTTAGAAAAGTAAGTGTATATGGAGAGAAAGTAAATGTCCACACTGGTGTCTTTTGGCTTTTCATACAACAGGAAGATTGCCTAGCAAGAAAGGATGTCTGCTTAGTGCATGGGAGGCTATCATTTTACGTTTTCATTTACATGGGAAAAAGCTGGTGATTCCATTAATATTAGTATGCAGCCACTTTAAGCAGCGTACATAGAGACTAGTGTCCGATAGCCCAGGGCCAGTGGATTTTGCTATCGGGCTAGTGAATTCTGTTTTTAACTTGCCCAATGGGCAAGTGATGTTTTATGATGAATTCGAATAACAGAAGAACTGTTAAATCAATTCTGCTCTTCAAAAAGCTTTTGGGGCTAGTTGAAATGACATCTGGGATAGTAATTGTTAGCTTCAGCTTACCCAAATGTCAAGCTGTAAAAATGATTTCCTCTGCACCCTGTTAAGGGTCATCATGCAATGCTCCGCCCTAGGAGTGTTGCACGACAACCCTGAAAACAGCTGCATGGGAGACTAATGCTGTACTTAAGAGTTACTGGTAAGTTAAACTTCTCTGTATGGACACCTTCACCCTTAATAAGTCTCAAGAGTGATCAACATCAGTTTTTTCCTAACAGTAAAGATAACAGTATTAATACATAATCAGGAGAAAAGGTCATAAGATATAAAGAAATGGTCATCAAAGGGAACATGATCTGATCCTTTAACAAATTCTCCATACTAATTTTTGAAGGAAATGTAAGGAGATCAGTCTGGGGAATTTTTTTGTGGATATTGAGGCTTAAAGCTACGTACAAACGGATACAACTACAACTCCCAACATTGTTGGCCTAACAATATTGGGAGTTGTTGGGTCTGTTTTTACATGGCTAAAAGTTTGACTGGTCTCAAACTTTGCCCAACAACTCCCAACAAAACACAACAACCTGCAACATCATGTAACAGGGTGTACAAACAGATGCAACTTGTAATATCCACCAATGGTGGGAGTTGTCAACCAACAATGTTGCATCCATTTGCATGGGGTGTAAAGGGTTAAGATATGATGACAGGGCTGTCATTAAGAGGCAGGTCCCTGGCTACTATGAACGTGGCCCATGGCTACTTTCAAAGGAAAATATGAGAAAAATACAACCAAAAGAAACCCCTAGCTGTTTGATTCCCAGCCCTTTGTGTATTTACCACGCAACTTGACATCTTAGTGACAATCCTGTGATGGAGACTTTGCTTTGTTCCAAAGAGGCTCAACTTAATACAGTTCCAGCTCTGTGATATGGACACCTGGATGCAATGCAGGTGTTAAGCTCTGTCAATAATGGTATCCATATTGTTAAAAAAGGATTTTATTGAAGTTCCAAACAGGTTGTGAATTGATTGTTTTAATTTTTTCAAAAACAGGTGTTCCGTAAACTTGATCCAAATAAGAATGGCGTCATCAGTTTAAATAATATGAGAAAATTCTACTGCACTAAGAAGCATCCTAAAGTAGTTTCAGGTAAGAAACTTGTGAAACTGCTTCTGTAGCCTACAGTCATGTACTCCCTGAAAAAAATTCCTGTTGTTATTTATATGTCTTATTTTTCAATGTATCTTTCATTGGCTTTACTTGTTAGGGGATAAACTTACATGTCTACAATTTGTACATTAATTTTTTGCAAACACAGTGTGGAGTTAAATTGATAATGATGATGATGATGATGATAATGAACAAGATTAAACGAGCAATGATGGAAAGAAATCAATAATGAATGTACATGGTGAGTTAAAAGAAACTTTTTGTTTATACAGTGTTTTATTGTGCTGATTTCTTTTCTTCAGGAGAAGTGAGAGAGTCTGAAATTGAGGAATCCTTTCTAAGGTCTTTTGAACTCTGCGAGAACAAGGGACAAGTGACTTATGCAGTAAGCTGTCACTCTATATTATTTTTTCTTGATCGTTGAATGAAGAGGGGGTTGTGTTCAAAGAGGGGGTCCCTCTACCCATAGGCTGTTCAATCAATTGAGGTTAATGCCACTAAATAATGGCTCATGATCAGTTATCTTGAATCCTTTATAAACCCAACTTCTAAATTTAGCCCCCACTCTCTAGCCTTAAGGCTTCATTTTAGAAAACACATATTATTAACCCCTACCCCCACCTTCCCTGCCACCTTGAGACTTTATTGATCAGAATTAATAATACATTGCTGTTAAGTATTAAAATAAATTATTTATGCACTCTGATCAAAATACAGTGCAATTTGTCTGTCCATATCTCTCAAATGTCGAACAGCAATGCCTTTCATCCAAAATAGAATGAGAGTACACCATAACTGAACCCTGATTCATCCTCTTTCTTTATTGTCCCCCCCCCCCCTCCGCCTCTCTGCACCCCTACCCCTTCTTCATCAAGTCCATTTATTATGCCAGGAAAATTTAGTCCACGGTGGGGCTAAAAAGAGGATTTAAAGTGTATATAAATTAGGTAATATCTTTTTTGTTACCTTAAACAGGAATTTGAAGATTATTATGAAGGAGTAAGTCTTGGCTTTGCTAGTGATCAGGAATTCACAGCCATGATGAGAAACTGTTGGGGAGTGTAGTAGACATAATAGCAATAGTCATAACTACAGACCCATGTAAATATAATTTTATAGTGTTTGCAATAGACCCTGCTGTAACCCATAACCAGGGTTGTCACTAAGATTTCAAGTTGCCAGGTAAATATAACAAGTAGGGGGGGAATCAAACAGCTGGGGATTTCTTTTGGTTCTATGTTTCTTCTATTTCCCAATGAAACTAGCCAGGGACCACATTCATAGTAGCCGGGGAAAATTCCCAGCCCCTGCCTCTTAATGACAGCCTTGCATAACACCTATCAAGGGCATCAATACATATAGTTAGTGTTAGGACTGAAGAGCACTTTTATTCCCCAAAAATTAATATGAAAGAAAGTTTTTTGGCTCAAATGATTGGGTGTTCAAAGGTGCTTTTTGCACTGTACATTTTGAGTTTTTCTGTCAGTCTATGTTGTCTATGAGTGAGAAAATTGCTACTAGAAAATTCACTAAAAAACAAGGCAGTCAAGGGTGGTATTAAAAACCAAGACAATAGCTGCTGGAATTTCTGCTAAGAACACCACAACAATAATAATGAATGGAAACAAGTTTGAGTCAAACTGACATAAGTTTAGTACAGTTACCTATTAGGGTTATCTTTAATTGATTTTCCATGCATACTGTGGTTGATCAGAACTATCCAAACTTTAAAGATTTTGCCTGTTGCCAGCTTAATCATTAACAAAGGAAAAAAGTCATATGATGATATTATTATGAGCTCGTCTGAGCTGCCAATTAAAACCAAGGCGGTGAAAACGTTATTTTCAACACTTAAAGTATTTTAATGTAGAAAGTCATCTCTCAGGCTGTGGTATCACTGGAAGTTGTCTGACACATAGCCTTTATCAGAGAAAAATATTTTAAGCTGGCTTGTTGGAGCTTTAAGCTAGTAAGATGAGGTATAAAACAACAGACCATAGTTTTCCTTTTTGGAAAAGACATGTCTGACAAGTAACTATTTTAGTTGGTCAAAGAAGAATAGTTTTTGGGCAGACATTATGTTGACTAAAATTTCAAATGTGTTTGTGGGTTTTACTGAAATTTCTTTTTTTTTTTCTTACAACCTTTACCAGAAATAACAGATTTCTTGAATTGCATTGTCCTGAAGGTCCTAAATTTATTTATACTACTACATGAGAAATGCAATTTTATTGGCTTAGAGCAGTGGTATTTCAGCTAATTTTGAAATACCTACATGTGGAAATTACAAACCTTTTGCAGGTAGTAGTATAAACAAATAATAGCATGACTTGTTTGTGATATTTGGCATAAATACCACTCGTGACATTTCAAAATTGTCTCAAATTACGTATAACAATTTCAAAATATCACTCATGGTATTTATGCCAAGTATCACTATAAATCATGCTATTACCTATACTAATACTGTTTTGTACTACAGTAAGCAGTACAATAATATTACATTGTAACGTTATTATTTAGTACTGTTTTGTGAGAGCTTATTACAGAGCTGTGTGTATAATAATTATTTTGTCACAAAACGTTTTGGACAATTCATGTTTTTAGACTTGAAACAATATTATACTTACAAGATCAACTTCCCTTTTTACTTCACCTAACAAGACAAAAGAGTGGTGTGAAGATTTTCAGTGGTCAATTAAGTGGCACTGAAAATTTGCCATTTTAAACAATTTTATACGAAGTGAGTGATGATATTATTACATTCAAGAAATACATTTTACAATAAAGCTATTAGAAACTCTGAACACCTTATTGGGCTCATGCAGGTTTCAACCAACTTTTTTGGGGGGGGAGGGTGGGGTGGAGGGGGTGGAGGGGGTGGATAGATATATTTGACAAAATTATTAAATCACCTCATCTGTCTAAACACTTTGCTCTAGATTGCACAGAGACAAAAGTTTAATTTCTTTGTATGTCTGAAATGTTTTAAGTTAAATCACTCATAAGTATTCAATGTGGATATTTTTATTCTATATTTCCCCATACATGTATACAACAAGCAGAATTGTAATAAATATTTATTATACTGGATGCTAAACTCTTTGGTATGCGTTTTTGTTTCATATTTTATACATCTTGGTTTATTACATCGTAGCCTACATTACAAGGGTCTTAATTTCCACATTTCTCTGATATTATGGGTCCTAAGCAGGTTAACAGCTATATGGCACAAAAACAACTGACTGGGATCTAAATGAATCAGTAGGGCAAGAAAAACAAAGAGATTAAATCAACTAAAACGCTATAGTTTTCCTCCTTTTCACTGCAACATTTCTGTCCCAGCAGGGTGTTTTTGTACAATGTGACCTTTAACTTGCAAAATTTAGTGCTCATTAGACCCATGGTAACAAGGAAATTTTAAGCATGAATAACAACAGGCTTCAATCTTGTTTCCCCAGGCTGCAATCTTCTTGGTAAGCACTAAAAACTGTCTGTTCCGTTTTGTTCTGGTGGGAATGGGTAACATAGACTGTAGGGAAAAATAATGTTTTGAGTCCACCTATTACCTAAAAGCTGTGTTGTAATTTACATTAACTAAGAATCATGACTCAACCATGCTATTGACTTCAATACCTTCACGTTTCTAAATAAATAATTACGATTTTTTTTACGCTGAATGTTGGCTAGCTGGAGATTTTTTGTTCTTTAAATTGATTAACCTCCCATTACATTGTTAAGCCAAACATACATAAATATCTTGAAATACTGTGATATTCTGAAATGAAATATATTATAGTAATATGCATAAAATGTTGGGCTAATACGGCATGATACATTCATTCTATGTACACCATTCATACTCATGGATAAAATACTTTACACTGCTTTTTGTCTTTTCTAATGATATTAAAAGTGTGGAGAGCACAAAAATCTTTAAAATGAATTTTATACATGTTCAAAAGCGCAGGACTGGTTTTAGGGTATAATGGAAAGCGCTGATACTTTTCAAACCAATGTTCTTTTTGAGTTGTACTATTAAACATGATAATAATTGTGATATCCCTTCTCCAAGTAAACACCGTTTGAGAGCAATTTCATGTAGTGCCTTAACAAAAAATCCTGTAAAATGCTGGATACAGAGAAGCTGCACTGGAGTGACTTCAGAATGACAGTCGAGCCACTAAAGATATTGAATTCTGGAATTTCTGTACATCCTTCCCACTAAATTATTCAAATCCAACAGTGATAAGTTGTTGCCCAAATTTTTATCAGGAGGTGGGTCATATAACCAAAAGTTGCAAAGGGACTAAAGGAACTACAGTGGAAGTTCTAGTAAGCAGACACCTTTGGGGATAAGAAAAAGTGTCCGTAACTTGAGCTGGTTGCTTAAGAGAATGATGCTGGTATGTGGCCACTAGAGGTATAAAGGTTAGATGGCCAATTAAGGAAGCTTTCCCAGCTACAACTGGGAATGCCAAAAAAAGGTATTAATTTTTTTGGTGAGTGTTTGGCTATACTGCTGTTCTGACAACATTGTAATTCAAGCACAAGCATCAAATTTAAAATGTAATCAGACATGTATGTGAGAAAAACAAACTCTGAAACTGATATAAATTCATTGTGACAGTCATATTAAAAATAATACAACATTCACAGGCAAATGAGATTTCATATCAGGTGTCACCTTATAAGAGCTTAAAAACAAAGTGACATCTATCTCATACAATGTTAACCCTGAAAGTGTCCGTGGCTGCCTCAGGAATGTAAAAATACAGAGTTTGTATGGGAGTTGAAACGGGGCTTTCTGATGGCGGCTGTAAATAGAGCTGTCCACTTACAAGTGTCTGTTAAGAGAGCTTCCACTTTGTAATAATAGTTATTTCAAAACACCTATTATATAATGGGGTGCAACTTTTTAAAGCTGTGGGCCAGTTTTATGTGAAGTCAATTTGTATTCTATTTTCATCAGTGTTTAGACCTTTTAAGGTGATTCCCTAGTTTTGCACTGCGCATCTCTTACTGCGCATAACAAGATGGCCGCCGTAAAAAAGAGCATGTGAAGTAATATTATTAAAATGAAGTTGACTGAAGAGAAACGCTATTGGAATTTTTTATTCTATATTTCCCCATACATGTATACAACAAGCAGAATTGTAATAAATATTTATTATACTGGATGCTAAACTCTTTGGTATGCGTTTTTGTTTCATATTTTATACATCTTGGTTTATTACATCGTAGTCTATATTACAAGGGTCTTTATTTCCACATTTCTCCGATATTATGGGTCCTTAAAGCAGGTTAACAGCTATAGGGCAAAAAAAACAACTCACTGGGATCTAAATGAATCAGTAGGGCAAGAAAAACAAAGAGATTAAACCAACTAACACGCTATAGTTTTCCTCCTTTTCACTGCAACATTTCTGTCCCAGCAGTGTGTTTTTGTACAATGTGACCTTTAACTTGCAAAATTTAGTGCTCATTAGACCCATGGTAACAAGGAAATTTTAAGCATGAATAACAACAGGCTTCAATCTTGTTTTCCCAGGCTGCAATCTCCTTGGTAAGCACTAAAAATTGTCTGTTCCGTTTTGTTCTGGTGGGAATGGGCAAAATAGACTGTAGGGAAAATGTTTTGAGTCCACCCATTACCTAAAGGCTGTGTTGTAATTTACATTAACTAAGAATCATGACTCAACCATTCTATTGACTTAAATACCTTCACGTTTCTAAATAAATAATTACGATTTTTTTTTACGCTGAATGTTGGCTAGCTGGAGATTGTTTTGTTCTTTAAATTGATTAACCTCCCATTACATTGTTAAGCCAAACATACATAAATATCTTGAAATACTGTGATATTCTGAAATGAAATAGATTATAATAATATGCATAAAATGTTGGGCTAATACGACATGATACATTCATTCTATGTACACCATTCATACTCAGGGATAAAATACTTTACAATGCTTTTTGTCTTTTCTAATGATATTAAAAGTCTGGAGAGCACAAAAATCTTTAAAATGAATTTTATATATGTTCAAAAGCGCAGGACTGGTTTTAAGGTATAATGGAAAGCGCTGATACTTTTCAAACCAATGTTCTTTTGAGTTGTACTATTAAACATGATAATAATTGTGATATCCCTTCTCCAAGTAAACGCTGTTTGAGAGCAATTTCATGTAGTGCCTTAACAAAAAATCCTGTAAAATGCTGGATACAGAGAAGCTGCACTGGAGTGATTTCAGAATGGAAGTCAAGCCACTAAAGATATTGAATTCTTTAATTTCTGTACATCCTTCCCACTAAATTATTCACATCCAACAGTGATAAGTTGTTGCCCAAATTTTTATCAGGAGGTGGGTCATATAACCAAAAGTTGCAAAGAGACTAAAGGAACTACAGTGGAAGCTCCAGTAAGCAGACACCTTTAGGGATAAGAAAAAGTGTCCGTAACTTGAGCTGGTTGCTTACGAGAATGGTGCTGGTATGTGGCCACTAGAGGTATAAAGGTTAGATGGCTGATTAAAGAAGCTTTCCCAGCTACAACTGGGAATGCAAAAAAAAGTATTAATTTTTTTTTGTTAGTGTTTGGCTATACTGTTGTTCTGACAACATTGTAATTCAAGCACAAGCATCAAATTTAAATTGTAACCAGACATGTATGTGAGAAAAACAAACTCTGAAACTGATATAAATTCATTGTGACAGTCATATTAAAAATAATACAACACTCACAGGCAAATGAGATTTCATTTTAGGTGTCACCTTATAAGAGCTCAAAAACAAAGTGACATCTATCTTGTACAACGTTAACCCTGAAAGTGTCCGTGGCTGCCTCAGGAATGTGAAAATACAGAGTTTGTATGGGAGTTGAAACGGGGCTTTCTGATGGCGGCTGTAAATAGAGCTGTTCACTTACAAGTGTCTGTTAAGAGAGCTTCCACTTTGTAATAATAGTTATTTCAAAACACCTATTATATAAATAATGGGGTGCAACTTTTTAAAGCTGTGGGCCAGTTTTATGTGAAGTCAATTTGTATTCTATTTTGATCAGTGTTTAGACCTTTTAACACGTGTCATGTGACTTGTCTAATATCGTCATTGTTCCAAAAATTATTTTTCGTTTTTTGAAATGGAACCAACAACCACATTGACAATCTTTAAGAATATTCTAGTCCATCATGACAATAATCATTGTATTTATGAGGAGGGAAAAGGAAAACAAAAGTGAGCTTTTTAAGGGTGAACACTTTCCAAATTAAAGGCTCTCGATCTAAGGTATCTAAAAATAAACTACGTAAGCTGAACTCAAGAAGAAAGACCACTTTTGAAATGGTCTTTTTTCTTGAGGAAAAAAAAAAGAAATTATAAAAGTCTTAAATTTAAATACGCCAAGTCCACTTCTAAATTAAACAGCTATAAAAATCTAACTACAATGGAAAGTATAGGATTAGGAAGACGTCTAGGAAGAGAGTTGAAGTTTCCCTCCTTCCACAAGGTACTATGCTCTTATGAACTGTCAATTTACACGTTGCTCCCGGTCCCAGGTTAGAGTGATTGCGTTGTGATCTGTTTTACCGCAAGGACAAAATACGTTGAATGGAGAGACTTTTTAAAGAACAGGTACCACAATCCAGTGGATACCGATTGCNTTAACACGTGTCATGTGACTTGTCTAATATCGTCATTGTTCCAAAAATTATTTTTCGTTTTTTGAAATGGAACCAACAACCACATTGACAATCTTTAAGAATATTCTAGTCCATCATGACAATAATCATTGTATTTATGAGGAGGGAAAAGGAAAACAAAAGTGAGCTTTTTAAGGGTGAACACTTTCCAAATTAAAGGCTCTCGATCTAAGGTATCTAAAAATAAACTACGTAAGCTGAACTCAAGAAGAAAGACCACTTTTGAAATGGTCTTTTTTCTTGAGGAAAAAAAAAAGAAATTATAAAAGTCTTAAATTTAAATACGCCAAGTCCACTTCTAAATTAAACAGCTATAAAAATCTAACTACAATGGAAAGTATAGGATTAGGAAGACGTCTAGGAAGAGAGTTGAAGTTTCCCTCCTTCCACAAGGTACTATGCTCTTATGAACTGTCAATTTACACGTTGCTCCCGGTCCCAGGTTAGAGTGATTGCGTTGTGATCTGTTTTACCGCAAGGACAAAATACGTTGAATGGAGAGACTTTTTAAAGAACAGGTACCACAATCCAGTGGATACCGATTGCGGGACCATGGCTGCCCCTAACTCATTAAATATTCTTTTGACGACACTAAACGCAATAATCTATTTCAGTTTCACTCACGCTCAAACGTTCACCTCCGGATCATCTGATCTGGTGCTGTTCCTACCCGCAGAACTCCGTACAATGAGCGATTTTCCTTTGTGTTCTATCAGTAGTCTAGGCAGCTCTCCGTTGGGACGTTTTTCGAAGCAGAATCTCACGAAGGAGCCGCTTAGTTTCGCAGCTGGTTTTGTCAGTACGACTTGCCAATATTTGATGCATTTCGCTCGGCTTATGGCCACAAAACTAGGCGGCATACCGACAGGAAGGATTGATCCATCGATCCATGAATTTATTTTTTCTATGCCATTCTCCTTATCGTACTGCAAGGGATCCAGCTCTAAGAGATCGCCCACAATGTTTTCCAAATCAACATCAATATCATCGCTTTGATATCGAGAATAGCGCGGACCACACACGGCGGAATCGTAGGTGCAACAAGGACAGGTAGTGCTGCAAGGGCAGTATAACCAACTGCACATTTGGCCCATGGTTTTTAAATTTCCGTTGTCTTTATATCATGTTTTCAGCTCCCACTTCTCTTAGCTGACACCTGTGCCCTCGCGGAATGCATAGAATTTGGTGCGATACACTATGTGAACCCTTACATAAAGCACAAATAGAAATTTGCGTTTTCAACGCGGGCTCAACTAATTATGTTGGTCACAAAATACTCGGGGTCGGGAAGTGTGTTAATAATAGCCATTCTGTGAAATTTTGGTTTTGCAGATTTGCCTGTTTTTGAGATGTTGTTTGGTTTTCACATCTAAATTCAACAGTTATTCTGATTTTGTCTTTTTTGGTTTGCAAGTTCCTTGTATTAGTATTTGGTTTTTTGTTTTCACCAAAAAAACAACGCAGTTATTCTGATTTTGGTATTCAGTGCAGTTTCCAGTTTTCAACAAGGAAATTCTTGAAAGAAGGACGAATTTTGCATCAGTTTTGGTTCTTTTTTTAACGTTTTCAGTTTTGATCAATATTTTTTTTGCGGGTTTAGGCAATTTTTTTTTGCAGTCTTGCTGATTCTATTAGGCCCCAATGCCCTCTTCCTCAACGGCTTATTATGTAAAGTACCTCCTGCTGGCATTAAGGCCCTGTTAGGGTTGAATTCTGACAAGCCAGATGACCTTGAAACAGCAACAAAAGACAAATGAAATGGCAACAAATGAAATTAAGATGGGTTAAAACTGAAGAAGCAATGAGGATTGAGGAAAATATCAAAAACAACAGTAGAAAATAAAAGGGGAATGGCCTCCTCTTCAATAAGCGAAATGATGGATTTTGACATTCAGACATAGATACATACATACATAACCTTTATGTAAACTCGAATTTTAGTGTAGCTACACTATATAGCTAATATCTTCAAGGAAAAAAAAATCTCTAAAACTAGAAAAAAAATACACACTCACAAAACAAGACAAAAATTAGTAAAAGTACTCAAACATATTGAGACTTTGCACATGTCACTTAAAATCAGGAAAAGTACTGTTCCTTAATTTGTTGGGAAGAGCATTCCATTGCTGGGCAGAAAAATAAGAAAAAGAGCTAGTGTAGTCCATAGGTTGTCGTTCTAGGCTTTCTTAGAGTCAACATATGGATACCGCACAAATTATAGGTTGTATGGCAATCAGCAAACAGGCTGGGTTGTTTGAAGCTGAGCTGGGTTAAGATAACCCAAGGTTAGTGCAAAATTTGAACTCAGATTCCCAAACCTTTTCTCGACAAGTACTTTCCACACGAAGTTCTTTCGAGATACATCGTTCCAGAATTTACAAGTTTTCCCCAGATTTATAAGATCTTTCCCGTGTAAAAACGTGGCGATGCGTTCTGCTGCAATGGCTGGAAGAGTCGCGNTGCAGTCTTGCTGATTCTATTAGGCCCCAAGGCCCTCTTCCTCAACGGCTTATTATGTAAAGTACCTCTTGCTGGCTTTAAGGCCCTGTTAGGGTTGAATTCTGACAAGCCAGATGACCTTGAAACAGCAACAAAAGACAAATGAAATGGCAACAAATGAAATTAAGATGGGTTAAAACTGAAGAAGCAATGAGGATTGAGGAAAATATCAAAAACAACAGTAGAAAATAAAAGGGGAATGGCCTCCTCTTCAATAAGCGAAATGATGGATTTTGACATTCAGACATAGATACATACATACATAACCTTTATGTAAACTCGAATTTTAGTGTAGCTACACTATATAGCTAATATCTTCAAGGAAAAAAAAATCTCTAAAACTAGAAAAAAAATACACACTCACAAAACAAGACAAAAATTAGTAAAAGTACTCAAACATATTGAGACTTTGCACATGTCACTTAAAATCAGGAAAAGTACTGTTCCTTAATTTGTTGGGAAGAGCATTCCATTGCTGGGCAGAAAAATAAGAAAAAGAGCTAGTGTAGTCCATAGGTTGTCGTTCTAGGCTTTCTTAGAGTCAACATATGGATACCGCACAAATTATAGGTTGTATGGCAATCAGCAAACAGACCTGGGCTGGGTTGTTTGAAGCTGAGCTGGGTTAAGATAACCCAAGGTTAGTGCAAAATTTGAACTCAGATTCCCAAACCTTTTCTCGACAAGTACTTTCCACACGAAGTTCTTTCGAGATACATCGTTCCAGAATTTACAAGTTTTCCCCAGATTTATAAGATCTTTCCCGTGTAAAAACGTGGCGATGCGTTCTGCTGCAATGGCTGGAAGAGTCGCGTCATCAAATGGGATAGACTGAGATCTTGCAAGCTTTTTTCCATTTCCTTCACATTTGAAAGTTGTTCCAGTAAAAGCCTTTGCCGATTGAGGAGCTTCTGGATTTTCCTTTTCCTCTGAGGAGTTTGCTTCGCCAGAATGGGTTCCACCCATTTCTCTTCCACGGCGAATGGTTTAGAATGGAGTGAAACGCTTTCTTCAGGAATGCCATGTTTCACTTTCATTCATCGGCACTCGATGATGTAATACTCGCACCAGTCCTTAGCCTGCGCCACAGACGAAAGTCCCCAGCTGTGGACCGACAGCATGTAAAAGTACAGTGACCACGAGTGAGAACACATCAAAATATTTCTGTAACGTCATAGTCACGTGATTATTTTAACAAAAGCCCCTTTATCGACGTCCCCTTTATCTATGAACCAGTAAGTAACCGCCAGCCACTTAAATATGTAAATAAGTTGTTTTCCTCCTCTTTTTTACCCCGGACAGGGAGGGGGATAGGGACGGTTTACCTGTCACCCGTACCATAAAACATAGAGAGAAAGTAGACCTGTTTTTGTTTCGTTAAAACTAATGAATATATATGAACTTATAACATATATGTTATAGCACTTTTCTTGTGTCAGGTATCTGTATTTCCATGATAAATTAAACTACCTATATTTTTCAAAAATTACTTTTAAAAACGATAAAATACCATGTTTTCAGCTCTCACTTTTCTTAGTTGACACCTATGCCATCGCGGAATGCATAGAATTTGGTTAGATACACTACGTGAACTCATACATGAAACATAAATAGAAATTTCCGTTTTCAACGAGGGCTCAACTAATTACCGTAAAATCCTGGGCTTATATTTTTCAAAGGCCCTTTTTGAGGGGCTTATTTTTGGAGGGGCTTATGTACGGAGGGAAATTTGCGTTTCAAAATCGATTGGGCTAGCCTGTAGTGAGAAGGAAATTTACCATTTTTGCTTTGTTTTACTTTGTATTCGAGGGCAAATTCCAAGTACAAGCCCCCTGGGGGCTTATATGCGGAGGGGCGATTTAACGGAGGGTTTTTTGCGTTACGATTTTGGGTGGCTTATATTTGGAGGGGCTTATACATGGAGAGGCTTATTTTTGGAATTTTACGGTATGTTAGTCACAAAATACTCGGGGTCGGGAGTGGGCAGAAGTGTGTTAAAATATTAAAGCCATTCTGTGAAAATGCTCTCATAAAGAGGGACATTGTGTATTTTGGTTTTGCAGATTTGCCCATTTTTGGGATATTTTTTGGTTTTTTAATCTAAATTCAACAGTCTTTCAGATTGTGTCTTTTGTGGTTACAACTTTCCTTGCATTAGTATATGTTTTTTTGTTTCAGCTCAAAACAATGCAATTATTCTGATTTTTGGTATTCAGTGTGGTTTCCAGTTTTAAACAAGTTAAATTCTTGGAAGGAGGACTAATTTTCTTAACAGTTTTAGTTCTATTTTTGATGTTTTCAGTTTTGATCACTATTTTCATGCGGGTTTAGGCAATTTTCTTTTTTGTAGTCTTGCAGTTTCTATTAGGCCCCAATGCCCCCTTTCTCACAGGCTTATAATGTGAACTACCTCCTCCGGGCATTAACAATAATACACAATCAAGAGAATAGGTTGTGAGAATTAGTATAGGTAATAACATGATTAGTAGTGATATTCGGCATAAATACCACGAGTGATATTTCAAAGTTGTTATACGTAATTTCACGAGCCGTTAGGAGAGTGAAATTTGAGACAATTTTGAATTGAAGTTCAAATCATGTAATTTGCATTTTAGTTGGAATGGTGATTTGAACTTCAACATCCGCGATGTCGAGTTTTTCCTGAAAAGTTTCAACTTGTCAAAGTAACTTCAAGTTCGAATGATGCCATTTCGACTGCGTTCATTGCGATTTCAAATTCATATGACGAGATTTCGACATGGATAGTCTAATTTTTGAACTTCAAATTGTATTTTATTTTCAATTATTTTTGTC